GAGGAGAGGGTGAAGAGGAACCCTCATACCCCCTTTCATGATGGCCTTAGCATAGAAGGACATCTTGTCATCGGTGTCGACGGTGGCACTGTGACAACCGACCTCAAATTCATCCACAGTCACATCGGGGGAATGGAATAATAGGTCCTAAAGTTAACTATCTGTTGATAGCCCTTAACAGTGTGCTTCTTGGGCCAACCTCGTCGGGCCTGACGTTCCTGCTTAGGCGACGCCTCAGCATGTCTCAAAAAGGAAGGAAGGAGTTCAAAGGCATGTGTCCCAAGGAAGGGAAATTAAGGGAACATTACAAGTGATGAAACGACGAAAGAGGAGGCGAAAGGACTACTGTGCTATCAGAACTGAGATGGGGGAAGATGGAAGGCGAGAAATCGCCAGAAAAAAAAACAAAAAAAAAAAGAGGAGTTAAAAGAGAAAGAGAACGAGTAAACTCACCAAAACTAGAAAAACGTAGGTATAGATATCAACGGATTTCCTCTTCGAACAGTCCTGAAGGAGGTGGCAGCAGGTTCAGGCAGTTGGTAATGACTTCGATGGAACTCCGGCAAAGTTTGTTTTTTCAGTTGACTAAGGTTTCAAAAGTGAAGAAGGGGAGACTGAGTCCTGTTTATATAGGGTCAGTCCCCATCATTGCACACGAAACATGAAAAAGGGCTGGACAACAGAGGAGCAGCTGAGCCCTTTCATCTTTTAATTCCACATCTCCCACGTTGTACGAAGATCAAGAGTTGNAAGTTTGTTTTTTCAGTTGACTAAGGTTTCAAAAGTGAAGAAGGGGAGACTGAGTCTTGTTTATATAGGGTCAGTCCCCATCATTGCACATGAAACATGAAAAAGGGCTGGACAACAGAGGAGCAGCTGAGCCCTTCCATCTTTTAATTCCACATCTCCCACGTCGTACGAAGATCAAGAGTTGGNCTGGACAACAGAGGAGCAGCTGAGCCCTTTCATCTTTTAATTCCACATCTCCCACGTTGTACGAAGATCAAGAGTTGGGGGGCAGTTGATAGGACGTTTCAGCGAGCTTACAGGGAGTTGACACGTGTTATCAGTCTCAAGGGCACCCTTAATATTCTACTAGAGACACGTGTTCTCAGCCCTGAAGACACTCCATCATCCTGAGACAGATACGTGTCCTCGACCCTGGAGACACTCCATCATTTCGAGGGGGACACGTGTCCTCGGTGTGNTGAGACAGATACGTGTCCTCGACCCCGGAGACACTCCATCATTTCGAGGGGGACACGTGTCCTCAGTGCGACCAGACCCCCAAGAACTCTTTGCTGACACGTCACCTTGGCCCTAAGGCGGACTATTGACTGTTGCAGCCAGTTGACTTCAAAGTTTAATAACGAATTATTGGTTTGCTTTCCCAAAAAAGTCAGAATGGCAGAAGAGACAAGATCAACAATCTCGTTTTTAAAAAAAATAATAAAAAATTGGACAGTGGGAAAAGCGTGTTAAATAAACACGTTTTTCACACAAAACTGAGCAACTACAGGTGTTTCTACTCGAGGGCACCCCCAACATTCTACTAGAGACACGTGTTCTCGGCCCTGAAGACATTCCATCATCTTGAGACGGATACGTATCCTCAACCTCGGAAACACTCCATCATCCCGAGACGAACACGTGTCCTCTGCACCAAGACGTTTCATCATTTTGAGGGAGACACGTGTCCTCGGTGCGACCAGATCCCCAAGAACTCTTTGCTGACACGTCCATTTGGCCCTAAGGCGAACTTTTGACGGTTGCAGCTTGTTGACTTCAAAGTTTAATAACAAATTATTGGCTTGCTTTTTCAAAAAAGTCAGAATGGCAGAAGGGAAAAGACCAACAACCTTGTTTTTTAAAAAAAAATAAAAATTTGGGCAGTCACACAAAACTGAGCAACTGCAGGTGTTTCTACTTGAGAATGCAGAAAATGAAGAAGTTGATTCAGTTCTTGTAATGGAAGAAGTGAGCAGAGCAAACTATCCTTCGTCTTCCGTACAGTCAGATGAAGAACAAGAAGTTGAACCAAATGGAAGAAGTGAGCAGAGCAGGCTATCCTTCTTTTTCCGTACAGTCAAATGAAGAACAAGAAGCTGAACCAAAGGAATTAGAAGCAGCATCATTAACATAGGATTCCGAACGTAAAGAAGAAGAAAGAGCATTAACTCTCAAGAAGGAGACACAAAATTATATTAATGTTAATATAATTTCAAAAAAATATTAATTTTTTGTACATTTTAATAACTATAATTCCATTAAAAGAACACTAATTGGCGACATAGGCCGTATACACGAGTAATTTATGAAAAGTGTCAACGAAAAATTTATTTTTCGACTGTCTTCTAATATTCAATTGAATAGGTGAGTGATGATCGACAATTTTCTAATCTTCAATTGAACTCTGAGCTTGGGTTATTGTCGGCAACTGAGTCTGCAATAGTACCGCCACTTGATTTTACCAACTCTGCTGCCACCCATCTCCATCATCCCTCTATCCCCACTATAACCATCTCCTTGCATCCTCATGACTATCTTCACCTATAAAACCCTACCACCACCACCACCACCACCACCACCTATGCCGCAGTTGGTGATGGCAATTGGTCGAATGGTGGAGATGGGTGGTGGTGGTAAGGGTTGGTGAGGTGACGGTGGCGAGGTGATGGCAATAGTGGTGGCAGTGAGGCAACAATGACAAGTGGCGGTGGTTGGTAAAAAGTTGGGAGTGTAAAATAGATTGACATTAAAATATTCAAGAACAAATTTGGTCCCTAATGAAAATATTATAAAGACATTGCCTATTTTGAAGAGGTACTTAAATTTNGGCAACAATGACAAGTGGCGGTGGTTGGTAAAAAGTTGGGAGTGTAAAATAGATTGACATTAAAATATTTTGGTCCCTAATGAAAATATTATAAAGACATTGCCTATTTTGAAGAGGTACTTAAAGTAATATGAGTTTTGAGTAATAAATGTACTTAATTACAAAACGAAGAAGATTTTTAATTTAAAGTACTGAATTAGCTTATCAAACACCTCTTTAAATAGTTAACTTCTTGTTTCCTTCCTTTGTTGTCCATGGATGAATGGTGATGTTCTTTTTAGGCTGTATTGTTTTTAACTACTAAATGAAGTCACCTATTAGGCGGTGTTGTTTTAGGCATTATTGCTCTTATTAACACAGACTAAAATATTGAAATCCATGTANTTAGGCTGTATTGTTTTTAACTACTAAATGAAGTCACCTATTAGGCGGTGTTGTTTTAGGCATTATTGCTCTTATTAACACAAACTAAAATATTGAAATCCACGAANTGGATGAATGGTGATGTTCTTTTTAGGCTGTATTGTTTTTAACTACTAAATGAAGTCACCTATTAGGCGGTGTTGTTTTAGGCATTATTGCTCTTATTAACACAGACTAAAATATTGAAATCCATGTAACTAGGCAGTCTTAAGCTTTACAAGAGCTTTCCTAAAAAGTTGACAATCCCAAGTTTTTGGGACCGTCCCTACACAGTTATTGGGTGTTAATTTGATCCAATTGAACCGTAACAGTTCGTTACAATACCGAAAAATAAATGTCAATCCCGTAGCTTCATTTGAATTCTCAGAAGATACGAAAGGTCTGAGATGGAGAGCTTTGAGCTTTGACTGTGTTTTGGAGGCCTTTAGTATCAATAGCGCATCCCCTTGTATTATATTAGGAAAGGAATATGGTACCAAAGGTAATTTTTCAAAATCATACCGAAAGTTACAACTCTATTAGATGAGGTTACGATTCCATTAGTTGAGATTACAAGTTTACAACTCAATAGAGTCATTTGGGATCAATCATAAAATACTTGTATCGACCTTAGCATGTATGATCGATCTCAACTTTTTAATTTGTAACTTGACTCCATTCAACTTTTGGAGTCCTAGGTTGAGTTTCGACTCGACATATAGGCAGGCCTGTACCCTTCATTTCTTGGTTGGATCAAATTAGATCCATTGACGAGATGGAGTCATCCCTAAGCAAATGAGCTCCTTGTCCTGAATTTTACCAAAGAAAAACTTATGGATCATTGAGAACAGGTGATGACTTGAAAAACTTGTATCATCCGATCTCTATCATGCAGTTGACAATTTTTTTTTTATTTCACTTCTTTTATTTTATTAGGGAGAATCACATTCCATCTTTGCTTAGAAACGAAGAGATAGAATACATTACTTTGATCTCTCTCGGAGTTAGTTGTCATAGAGCTTTTCATATAGGAATCGAGCACATTCTCTAAGATTTTAAGTTTCTGATGCAATCGATATTCGGGTACGGTACCGTTGGTAGTTGTTGATTCTATCACCTTGTTTTATTGTTTTTTTCATTTGTAGCTGGCTCCTTAATGGGATTGTGTATAAGTATAACCATGTATTCATTTGTGTATTTTTCTATTTGTGGACACAATACCAATTTCTTTTGTTAATGTTTTCTCAACAACTAATGTGACAATGTGCCAGGAGAGATGTTAGGTGAGGGAAGCTGTTGAGTTTCTATGACTTCATTCATGGTCACTGCAGCACAAGAACACTATAAAAGCTCAAGCTTGTAGCTAGACCAGTAACAACAATAAAAATAACTCTTATACAGCTCTCCAATTCAATGGCTATCATTGAATACCCTGAGATATTGATGTGTGTTCTCTACTTTCTCTTTATTTGGTATAGGAGCTGGAGTGCTCGGAGAAGGCAGAAAAGCTCACTTCCCACGAATTGGCCTCTTGTTGGCATGCTTCCGGAGCTACTTCTAAACATTCATCGCATCTACGACTATTTTACAGAGATTTTGGAAGAATCTGGGGGAACGTTGGAGATCAAAGGCCCTTGGTTTGCTCACATGGACATGTTAGGCACATGTGATCCTGACAATATTCACAACAGACTGAGCAAGAAATTTTCAAACTTCAGAAAGGGTCCCGATTTCATAAAGATATTTGACGNGGTTTGCTCACATGGACATGTTAGGCACATGTGATCCTGACAATATTCACAACAGATTGAGCAAGAAATTTTCAAACTTCAGAAAGGGTCCCGATTTCATAAAGATATTTGATGCGCTAGGAGATGGGATTTTCAATTCTGAAGGGGAATCATGGAAAACCCAAAGGAAAACCGCTTTGCCACCATCAAGATTACCACAAGTTTGTTGCAAAAACTACATGGAACAAAGCGGAAAAGGGGCTGATCTCAGTTCTTGATCGAATATCAGAACTAGGAACGGAGACGAAATTGCAGAGTTACTTCAGAGATTTACCTATGATACTGCTTGCAAATTGGTTTTGGGTCATGATCCGACTGTACTTTCAATTGATTTACCAGAATATCCACACCAAACATTGTTCGGTGATGGTGGGGAAGCTGTGTTTTATAGGCACTTTCTGCCAGAAAGCTGCTGGAAGCTGCAAAGCTGGCTTCGAATGGGGGCAGAAAAGAAGCTGAGTAATGCCTTGAAGACCTTGCATCAGTTTCTAGACAATTGTATCTCATCAAAACGTGAAGAATTAAGAAATAGGAGCATAACCAAAATGGAAGATAAAGATCAAGGGGAGTTTTCTGACTTGCTAACACTCTTCATGATAATTGCGGAAGAAATAATTGGTGTTACACTTTCTGGTGATTCTGAAAAGTTTCTGAGAGACATCCTTTTGAATTTCTTGTTTGCCGGAAGAGACTCTTTAAGTGCAGTTCTCAGTTGGTTCTTTTGGCTTGTTGGGACCTACCCAATAGTAGAAAAGGAGATTCGCGAAGAAATCATACAAAATTTGCCAGTGAAAGAAGATGGAAGTTGGAGTTTTTCCTGTCCAGAAGATGTAAAGAAACTAGTTTATCTCCGTGCAGCGATCTGTGAAACATTAAGGCTATACCCACCGGTTGGTTTGAATCACAAAGCTCCACTGCAAAACGACTTTCTTCCAAGTGGCCATTGCATGAATCAGAATACAAAAACTGTGCTTTCTTTCTACTGGATGGGAAGGATGGAGACGATATGGGGCAAAGATTGCTTAGAGTTTAAGCCCAGGAGATGGATTTCAGAGAAAGGTGGGANCTTTCTGGTGATTCTGAAAAGTTTCTGAGAGACATCCTTTTGAATTTCTTGTTTGCCGGAAGAGACTCTTTAAGTGCAGTTCTCAGTTGGTTCTTTTGGCTTGTTGGGACCTACCCAATAGTAGAAAAGGAGATTCGCGAAGAAATCATACAAAATTTGCCAGTGAAAGAAGATGGAAGTTGGAGTTTTTCCTGTCCAGAAGATGTAAAGAAACTAGTTTATCTCCGTGCAGCGATCTGTGAAACATTAAGGCTATACCCACCGGTTGGTTTGAATCACAAAGCTCCACTGCAAAACGACTTTCTTCCAAGTGGCCATTGCATGAATCAGAATACAAAAACTGTGCTTTCTTTCTACTCGATGGGAAGGATGGAGACGATATGGGGCAAAGATTGCTTAGAGTTTAAGCCCAGGAGATGGATTTCAGAGAAAGGTGGGATCAAACATGAACCATCTTTCAAGTTCCCAGCGTTTAATGCAGGGCCAAGGACTTGTTTAGGTAAAGAGATCTCTTTCATCCAAATGCAAATAGTTGCTGCCACCATAATACATAATTATCATATTCAAGTGGTAGAAGGTCATCACAGAGATCTCCCACGCCTGCTGTTATTCTTCAAACGCAACATGGTTTGAAGGTCAGAGTTACCAAAAGATATGTCTGATACAGCATTCTGAGGGTTGACCATTCTCAAAATATAGGATTCGGGCTGTCTTTTCATCCCGTGTTTGGCAATAAATTGTAGGTTTTCGGTTGTATTGTATTCCCATTTGTTCCCAATGGTGTTGCCTTGTTTATTTTAAACTGGTTTTTTCTTGTATTTTCCCTTTGGCTGTAATACATTATGTTTTCTATCAATAAAAATAGGGTTTATTTACGGGGAAAAACCACTTCTATTACCTTGTCATCAATTTGCTAGAGTTTGGCGCAAAAGCATGTCCGAAAGGAGTTGGTTATGGTATCCAATTTTTTTTTTTCAGTATCATATTTCTATTTTCACGTTTGTTTGTGGTTGATTTATTCTTTTTTATTAGTGCTTTTACCACTATTATGATATCAAAGAAATGGTAAAAATAAAGTTTATAGGACTNTGGTTATGGTATCCAATTTTTTTTTTTCAGTATCATATTTCTATTTTCACGTTTGTGGTTGATTTATTCTTTTTTATTAATGTTTTTACCACTATTATGATATCAAAGAAATGGTAAAAATAAAGCTTATAGGACTTTTTAGGCACTTTTTTTAATTTAACCCGCTATTTGAGGTAGTTTTATAATATTATTTATTTATTTTATTTTTTTGGTAATACAAAATCATTAGGATTTCTGATTTATTCTATAGTGAAAACTTATTCAATAGTTTTGGTTTTATTTGAATAAATTCAAAGTTGAGTTCTCTTTTAATTTCTAATTGTTTTGGTATTCATAAGAATCGGTAAATCTCTTTAACATTGTAATCTAATATTATTGTAATAATCAATCAAATATAATATTTATTGTCTAATCCGATTTCTTTTCCTTTCATTACATGTCCAAAGACACAAGTAATAAAAAATAATCTATTTAATCCTAATATGCTTTATTATCGTGGATTGAGATATACTCTAATATATTTTTATTTTATTTTGTTCTTAGCCATTAAAGATTAGTCATTTGTCAAAAAAAAATTATAGAACGGGATCTGAAAAATCTTACAGATACTCCCAAACCTATATATATCCCCGCACCTCAGAAACTACTGCTACCAAAAACCTAGTATATAGAAAGCTATTGATGAGGCCAATTAGCTCAACCTCTTCTCTGATCCGTACCTTCTTCCTCCTCTTTCTGCTCCTAATTGCCGCCAATCATGGCGGAATTTTCCGATTGACGGAGGCAGGGAAGCGGCGGATCCACATTTCCGACGACCTCGACGACGTGGTGGACGACGAAGAGGACGAATCCTGGAAAGAATGGGGCAAGAAATCGAACATACCGGAGTTCGATCCACCCCCGACGGACTTCTCTAACATGGAGTTATCGGAGATTCAGACCGAGATGATGAAGCGCCAATTCGGTCCTGTCTTTGGGTTCGCCAAGCTTCGACTAGACGTTCCTCGAACTAAGGTACCAAAAATGCCTTCTTTTTTTTGTTTTTGAATTTGTTTATTTGGTAATTAAGGTTCTTTGGTACGAATACTTTTGGATGAAATTTCAAGTTTTTTTTTCTATAAGTCGTGTTGTACATGTGCAATGTGATACTTAGCATTCTATGCAAATTTTTATAAATTCTGTTTTTTTTTGGGGACTAGACGAAGAGAGACGGTTAAGACTTATGTTTGTGTAAGAGGAAGACCAAGTGGCAACTAAAAGCTTTACTTTGTGGATGGAGATTTGTATTAATCCACTCTCTCTATCACCTCAATTGACGTATGGTTATTGGAGTATAAATACTTAAATTACACACTCTCTAATAACTTGAATTTTTATAGTAGATGGTCATTTAGCATTGTATAAAAAAAAGGAGGTATTGTGTTTGAATCTCGCTGCTACCTTTATAATTAAAAGATTTCCACTTGCTAGGCTCAAATTCTAACTGCATATAAGGGGATGTGTTGAAGTATAAATATTTAAGTTACACCCTCTTTAATCACTTAAACTTTTGGAGTAGATGGATCATCAACAATGCCAAAGCCGAACTAGTAATGGTGTTCTTTTTCTAGGTCATTGGTTTTGTTTGATGAAGACGGTGATACGTGTTTGATTTTTTCATGGGATTTGCAGAGTATGGTGGAAGTAAGAGAGTACTTGCATACATGGACACTAATTCTACTCAACTCTTTAAAGCCTTTATCCCAACCATTTAATGTTGACTACATAGATACTAATTCACTTATCTAAATAGGAGGAACTACATGGCTGTTTAAGCTAATTACATAGTTTGAAACATGAGGCTAGCGAACTGAAGCTGCAACAATTTGGATCTTTAAAATGGCTTGCCAGTTCAATTGATGTCGTTTGGAAAATGTGGAGAAATAGAAGAACAGGAACTTTTCTGTCGAATGTATTGTTTATTATTTTTCTAAGCAAATGTATGAGGAAAGGAAAAGGTCTGTTTGTATTGAAAATTGAAGCACTTAATACCTTGGTTTAGTATCTTGGTTCTACTCGTTCATGCTTTTTTAAAGACTATTTATGCTGATTTTTTTTTAATGATAATATAGTCTGGCTAAAGTGATGGTTAAAAATACAAACAATGAGAAATTGTCTTCTTGGTGATCCCCACTGATATCTCATGGTTATATAGAGTTTTTTGTGCTGAAACTTCAAATGTGGTGTGTCTTTCTTGGGAGTGAAAAGAAGCAGAAGTAATGGTTTTGTCTCAAATCTCTCTAGGATGTGGTATCTGAGATTGCCATGAAATGGACCAAAGTTGCAAGAACCGGAGCTATTGAGGCAAAGTTTATGGGTGTCGATCTGAGCACAATTATGTTCACCATGGAAAAAGGTCAAGACTCCCTTGAGGTATGTGTTACTGTGGCGTTTAAATTTTCGGTCATTTTCTTTAACATCGGCCAAAAACTACTAAAATGTGAAGGCATTTTGGTATGACTTCGATGAATTTATGATTATTAAACACATCTCAATGCTATCCTGAACTATTAATCGGATTGAATCCTAGGTGTAATGCATGCCTCGTAGGTGACAGTTTGTTTGCTTAATATACTTGGCCTTCTTGTTAATGTAAGTGGAAATTTGCCACCCACAATGGGTGAGCTAACCTAATTTAGTGTGCATATACAAGTGAAAAGTTTGGTGGACGTTTGTATAGAAAAAATTATATTCTGAATTCTCGTAGTGTAATGGTACCTTAATCATCTTTTTTCCCCAGTTGAAAGAATTTATATTGAGCCAACCAGATGCCTATGAGATCAAGATAGGGGATCAACTTTTTCGAAGACCAGGAGATCCTCCTTTTGAGGAAGTATTTGAAAAGCTCCGCAGTGAAAAGATCAAAGCAGATCATACTAGGCCTACAGAGGATGACACGCACCAGAAAGATGAGTTATGATTAACTGGAATATTTTCTGATATTCAGTCCACAAAGCTTGCTGCCTAACTGAAAATCCTTCTGTTAAGCCATGCTGCTTTACAATTGTGCGGTTCATTTAGTCTTGTAGTCTCACATGATAGTATGATACCATTTTATTACTATGTTCAACACATGTTTTATCTTCTCTGATTTACTAACCAATAAAAACCCTTGTTTGCTGTAAGCTTTTCTACGAGCTACCGTCTTATTCCACTCAGTAGGTGTGTTGTACATAAATTGAGTGTAATCCGAAGAATGCGTATTGTACCTTCCTACTTTGAGGTATGTTAAAGAAGGACTAAATGAAGAAAGGCAAAACACATGAGGAAAATAAATCATGCATGTTGTGTTCTTTCTTATTTGTTGCAACACATTTACTGTCTTTCACCAACCATCCACCTAAACCTCAACATGCTTCCAACGCCTGAATCATATTCATTTTTATATATCGATCGGATTTGGAGAAAGATTGAATGGAATAGGTATTGCAACAAGGGGTGGTGGAATTAGGTATTCTGAGTAGTTCTTATGAAGCATAAAGAAATGTTGCTACTATGCTCATATATATATATATGTGTTTGTATTGTTTGGAAATTATTAGATTTTACAACCCTTCTCAAACTAATGTGATTCCAAAACCAGGAGGTGAAAAGTTGGGTTTTTTTTACAAGCTTTTCTTTCAATTGTTTGGTCTGAAACATAAAGTCAACTTGTTGATTTAGTATAGCAGGCTAAAAGATGAGATTCAAATCCCTTCTAATGCTTTTTCTCAAGTCAATCTAGATATTTCTCATAAAATTCATACCCAAAAACTTAAAATATTGGCCACTAAAACCCTATCATCTTAATTATTTCAATGGATTAAAGCCCTATAATCTTAGCTACTTCGATGGATCAAATACTTTGATGACTAATTGAGTAGCACTACCAGTCCACGATGATTTTCTTACTGTTATTTGATGCCAGCACTTTATTTATTGTATCACTAACAATTAAGCAAGTGCAATGATTACAAAATGGCAAGATAATTTATTGCAATTGAGTGGGAGGGAAGGCCGACTAATCACCTGTCTTGCATTTAAGTGAGATTTATTGTACATAAGCGAGTTTTTTTTTCTTTTTTTATTCCACGGTCAGGAGTATTTGGGATTAAGGTATTTATGAGAGATAACTCTTTCATAATTTAATCTTAAAAAATTATCAAAATTCGAATTTATGACGTCTGAACAGAAGTAAGTCTCTCAGTTATTAACAATAAATGATCCATCAATACAAAAAATTAAAGGAAAAAAAAGTATTGGAGGCAATCAAAATTTCCTCAATAATACGTGATACTAAAAACTTTTTAAAAATAGATCTTTTTAACATTGTACTCTCTTTTTCACTATGTATATTTTTAATAAACCTTATCCATAATATATATATTATAATATTGACATGTAGTTTTATGAATAAAGAATACATAATGTCGAAAGTCAGAGTAACCACAATCCGTTTGAGAGTCAAAATCTTATTGGTCTAGTGATCATAGATTCATATGTTATAAAATAATCTCTACCACAAAAATTATACAGTGTGATGGTTGTCATTTTCTTTTGGGAAATAATAACTATCTAATTTTTAGATCATGAGAGAGAATGGATAAGCATGGTTGACAAATAATTATGAGTGATTAAGGTTAAAAAAAAAGAGAAAGTATTATAGATATTTAGACGTGTGGATATATTTTTATCGATTCCTTTATGTTGACTCTATAATAAAACCAATTAGAAAACACCAAAATTATGTAATAAATCCTATTTTGTTAATGCAAGACGTTTTAAATTGAATGTGATTATTAAAAGTTGGAATTTTTATATTATCGAAAAATAGAAAGGAAAAAAAAAAGAGTTTCAAAATGTCTTATTTGACCTTGTACTTTTAAGCACATCGAGTCGCGTAAAAGTAAATACTTTCCCCGTCGTACATGCAATGTGATTTTCTTCCCTATCGGAGATATTCATTCCCACCTACATCGGAAGCAGAGAAATGGAAAGGGTCAAATCAAATTTAACCCAAGATAAGATATGAGATATTCAACCCAAGTCAACCCATCCCTGCCCCAACCTTAACCCGAGCAAGTCCAATGCACGTCTAACTTGTGATTAAAATTTTAAACTCGGGTTACTCCATTCAGGTTAAACTCGAGTTTTTCATTAATCAAAATTAAATTAAACAAAAAATAAGATTTAATTTTTTGTTTAATACAAATGCCATAACATTTCGTATGTGTGTGTAAATTTTTATTATTTTTTAAAAATTTTGAGTTAAAATTGAAATATAATCATGTTGAACCCAATTTCATAATTTGGATTAAAAGTTTTCGTTCATGGATTAAAAATTTCAACTCAAATATGGAAAAATTTAGCGAGTTTCAAGTTAACCCCTAAATTGCAGCCCCAAGTAAATTCCACTGCACGACGTAAATTTAAGCAGCAAATATATGCGAAAACAATTGGATGAAACCTAGATATATGCGAAATAGCTAAGGGTTTGGTGATGAAAGAGACGAATCACACATATAGAGAAACAGAAATTGAACAAAACCCTAAATCTATGCGATTGGAGCTAAGGACTTACCTTGGTGATCTCAATAGTTTAATGCGAGAGATGTGTCGCACAGAGCGAGAGATGTGTCGCAGAGAGAGAAAGAGAGACAGAAACGATGCAGAGAGAGCGTCACACAGAAAGAGACGAATATGACACAAAGAACTTCGGATGCAAACAAAAACAAATCCCAGAAGGCCAAATTTATACTAATTTACATGTCTTTGTGCTTGTGTATGGATGGAAAGGTTTTAGCAAGTGAGATCTTTGAAACAGATGTAGATCTGAGATACGAACCTTGGAGGAGACGAGAGGCGAAGATAGGAGGAGAAGAAAACCATAATCACCATTCATGGGTGCGTAACAAATCGGACAGCCGAATTGGAGTCCCGAAAAATTGAGAGAGGACACCGACATAAATTTTCCGCCAAATAACGATTTTATAGGCTGCTGAGAGGTTTAAGGTAACATGGAATATTAGTATTATTAAGAGTGTGTTTGGATTGACTTAAAAAAATATATTTTTTAGACTTTTGACTTATCATAAGTGTTTTCATAAAAAAAAATAGTGTTAATTAACTTATTAAAAATACTTTTAAAAAAGTAAAAATCATTTTACCAAGCTCAAAAAATAAAAGTTAAAAAATATTACTTTTACTTATTCAAAATCACTTTGCCCAACCATTTCTACCTCATTTTTTTTTTCTCTCAACCCGTCACTCTCTCTCGATAACTCATCTCCTCCCATGGGTCTATCAATAGCCCTTCTTCCATTTTGGTGACCGACTAAAAGACGATGCCGGAGAGGTAGGCGATCACCAGCGATATCTCGACGACTCCGTTCTATCTCTGCCTCGCGCTAGCCTTATGTATCAGAGGATTCAGATTCAAGTCTGATCAATGTGAGTTTGTGCTTGTGATTATTCTTATTTGTGACAACTCTGTTTCAATGTCTAGCTTCTGTTTTCTTTGGGTGATCTTTACTTCACTTGAACCTTATGATTGCTTGCTTTTCACTAGGGTATTGGGGTATACCTTAAACCTCTCAGCAGTCTATAAAATCTTCATTTGGCGAAAAATTTATGTCGATGTCCTCTCTCAATTTTTCGAGACTCCAATTCGATCGTCCGATTTGTTAAGCACCCATGAATGGCGATTAGGGTTTTCTTCTCCTCCTATCTTCACCCATCCACACGTAAATTAGTATAAATTTGGCCTTCTAGGATTTGTTTTTGTTTGCATCCGAAGTTCTCTGCGTCATATCTGTCTCTCTGTGTGTGACGCTCTCTCTGCATCGTTTCTGTCTCTCTCTCTGTGACACATCTCTCGCTCTGTGCGACACATCTCTCGCATTAAACTATTGAGATCACCAAGGTAAGTCCTTAGCTCCAATCGCATAGATCTAGGGTTTTGTTCAATTTCTGTTTCTCTATATGTGTGATTCGTCTCTTTCATCACCAAACCCTTAGCTACTTCGCATATATCTAGGTTTCATCCAATTGTTTTCGCATATATTTGCTGCGCTGCTTAAACCCAATTTTTTCCGCATACATCTCTGTTGCCTCAGTTGTTTTTTGGATTGATTCTAATTTTTTTTTATGGTTTCTTATAATTTTTTTTATGACTTGTTCGTGTATGTGTGAGTTTGGGTCTTTGACTATAAGCAATACAACTTGTTCAAATAACACAATTATGACAGTAACTCAATGGTTTCAGTATCTCATAGGCTCATATAAAATCGTGGGATGTTTCCTGTACAAAATTGAGTGTTCATATATCACATATGAATCACATATCATCTGAATGATTTTGTTTTGGGAACCTGTATGGGAATTAAGTTGAAATAGTTTGGACTTATTGTGAATGGGACTTGGAGTTATACTCTTTGGTCAATAAACTTAATAGTGGGAACCTTAATGTGCAACTAATTTTTTTTTTTTTAGTGTGTCTTTGTTCTTGTATGGTTGTAGATGGCAAATGTGAATGTCACCAATGTGTTTGATGGGCGGTAAGGTAAGGGCAGGGTACCACGAGAAAAAATTGCAAGCGGTGGTTTGTCGTTGACTTATGGTGAGAATATGGGTGACTCGGTGGCTACAACTAATCCACATTCGATCGGCGTTCTCAATCAAGCCCGGTAAGCTACCTAATAATGGCCAGACTCGTGGACCCTTCAATGGCCGTGAGATAAAGGTGAACCATATCAGATAGGCAGTGACTACAGTAAACAACAGTAAAGCCAAAGATATATCCATTGTTGGGAGATAACCTCTAGTTTCTAGGGAAAATGTTTTCCCGATAAATCACACCACTATATGTATGACGAAAACTATATATAAGGTTGAAGACCACAAAAACTTGGTGAGAAAAGCAAGACCCCGACAGATATTGTATATTTTGAACCAAGAATAGGTGGGTTGTTGGTTTAACTTAAGCTTCAATGGTTCAACTAAACACCACTGTACGGACAACTAATGTGGGGACGAGAAATGTATTGTTCTGACTTAGAGAGAGAGGTGAAAGACAAAGGCAGAGAAGCAGAGGAAGAAGAAGAGTGAGATGAACAAAGCAATGTTATCAGAACCAGATCGGACCGGCAGGTCAGACCTGTGAACCGGGCCAATGGTCTGGTTTACTAAAAAGACTGTTTGGTAATCGAACCGTTGGAGAATCGGAAAAATCGGCCGGTTTAAGCCAAAAACCGATGAATCGAAAATT